ACTATAGGTGGTTCGTCTTTTCTAATAGCATAATCAATATCCATCCACCCTAAATGGAGGAGAACCCTCTCCTTCCATATCTTATAGTTATCACCACTAAGTTCGGGAATATCACATCGAATATCAGAGAAATTAATAGTTTGATAAACTGCATAAAATCAAACATGCTTATGTCAAAATTTGAAGCTTAATAGACTAAATTACATGTTTTACCAATGTTAAACATGCCAAAAATATGAATCTCATGACATAAAAATTGCTTGTGGGCTAAATTCTTAATTCAAATAGATTCATATGGTCTTCATGATAAAACTATCAAATTATATTCCAATTCATAATCCCTGTGGGTAAATTATGAAAATAATTTGATATTTTATCCTGATTAATTATATTAAATATAATAAAAGATCCTGTGGGATAACAATTATTATACGAAATATAATCAGTCACAATATGATGTCTAATTACTTATGTGATCCTTATTTTAACTTTATATATAATTTTAATTAATTAAGGATATTGTGGCTAATTCTTAATTAATTAAGATTATACGGATCACTAGACATTTTAAACATAAAAAATTTGCTCATAAACAAAATTTAATAGAACTAAATACGCATACATAATATGAGCATTTTATCGACTAAAATGTTGTAAATGATATTTTCTCATGATTTTCAACAAAATATATCAACAAGTTTTCAAAAAGAAACCAAAATCAATTCATTTTCATGGCATAAAAATGAAAACTTTTTCATATCAAGGTAGAGGTCATTCGGCTCTGATACTAAATGTAAGAAATTTTTTAATGAAGCCAACTTGAAGCCAACTTGTGTTTCTAAATCATTGTAATAGAAACACAATAAAACTAATGCGGAAACGAAATAGCGTACCTCTAGCCATTGTCGCCAAGAATTTCTGCAGAGGTTTCTTCTTGAACTTTGGTTCTTCTCGGCTCAGAACTCTCTGTTAGGACCCTTTTTCTAAGCTTTTGAATAATGTTTGTTGAGTCTGTTTAGTCCAATTGTTTATTGAGTCGATTTGGTTCAGTTAGAGTCAAGTAGAGGTTTATTTAATATTTATTTATTATTAGAGTTCAAGTCCTGATGGACTCTGGGTGGAACTCTATAAATAGGGATGTAATTGCTTCTTTTCAGTAATCAATGAAAAATACTATTGTCTTTGGACAAACCCTAGGAGGCCGATCCCCTCGAAGTGGGAGCTCAAGTTCGACATTGCACAGATCTGAAAATACAGGAAAAGGGCCCCAAGATTGTGACACAAATTACTCACACATGAAGATGGAATTTCCGAGATGGAAAGATGGAGATCCGACCAATTGGATCTCTAAGGCAGAAAAGTTTTTTCATCTTTACAGAACTCCAGAAGAATCTAAGGTAGAAGTGGCCTCAATCCAGCTCGATGGAGATGCAATCCAATGGTATGATTGGTACGAAACTTGCCATGGAATTCCTTCGTGGGAGTAGTTTAAAAGAGGACTTCTTGTTCGTTTTGGCCCGTCCGAATATGAGAATGTTGATGGCCAACTCGTCAAAATTCGTCAGACTTCTACAGTGTTGGAATATCAGAGTAGATTTGAAAGATTGTCCAACCAAGCTAGAGATTGGTCAGAACGACAACTTCTAGGTACATTTATTGAAGGGCTTATTCCCGAGATCCGGTGTGAAGTTAAGGCTCGTCAACCCCGTACTATGATAGCTGCGATCTCATTTGCACATCTATATGAGAAAAAAATTAGCAAGGAAAGATCAGCAAGGAGTTTGCATTATGATGAAAAGTGGAGTATAGAGCACCAATGTAAACAAGGGCAACATCTGATGATTGAGCTAATTAGAGAGGAACCGAAAGTAGAAGAGTTGGACTCCGATTATGAAGATATAAATTCTAATGAAGATGTTGGACATACCATACATACAATGCATGCATTAGCCGACTACTCTAACCCGCAAACTATAGAAGTTGGCAAAACTCTGGAACATCAGCCTGTTATAGTTTTTATTGATACTGGTAGCACTAACAATTCTATGGACAGTGAGACTGTTGACCGATTGGCCCATCACATTGAAGACCGTGACAAATTCAAAGTAAAGATCATTGATGGATGGATTTTCACTTGTGATAGCAAAGGTTCAAAAATAAAATTGATTATACAGGGCCAGAAGTTTCATGCAACGATTACTACACTGAAAAATCAACCTGTTGCTTACACTCTCAAAAAGTGGAGACCATACTTACTTAATCAACGGGTTGTGATGCGTTGCAGATAGTCTATGGCTAAAGTGCTGAAGCGAAGCTCCCTAAGATTGATGCTGCTCAGCCTTGAGGACAAGGCTGATTTGAAGAGGGAGGAACTGTTAGGACCCTTTTTCTAAGCTTTTGAATAATGTTTGTTGAGTCTGTTTAGTCCAATTGTTTATTGAGTCGATTTGGTTCAGTTAGAGTCAAGTAGAGGTTTATTTAATATGTATTTATTATTAGAGTTCAAGTCCTGATGGACTCTGGGTGGAACTCTATAAATAGGGATGTAATTGCTTCTTTTCAGTAATCAATGAAAAATACTATTGTCTTTGGACAAACCCTAGGAGGCCGATCCCCTCGAAGTGATCAAGGAGGGCCGATCCCCTCGAAGCGATCAAGGAGGGTCGATCCCCTCGAAGCGATCAAGGAGGCCGATCCCCTCGAAGCGATCATTATCATCCACATTTTTTCCCTTTCTTCCACGATAAGACTTTAGGGTCTTATCACTCTCGCCTTAGATGGTGTGGGAAAGCCTTTCGCTTCAAAGAGATGATTGAGCCAAGGGACCAAAATCCTCATATATATATAGATGTTCTCCCATCAAGAACATTTATCATCACCAACTCATAACGTTCAAGAATTAATTCAAATTTGTAACGTTTGGACCATAATGAAGAACTTAATGATATTAAATATTAAATTTAATAATAACGGTTTCATGCATAAAGAATAAGAAACTGAAATCATTTAAACCATAATAAATGAAGAAATTCATGATAACGAATTATGAATCTTAATGAGAACGGTTACGTTATTATTAAATAAGATATTTAATAATAACCGTTACATAAACAAGTTCTTTCTGGGGATGATGTTGATGGTTTATCATATTCTTCCTTTTTTTGGCTTATCAAGTTTGCATCTGTCTTGCATTTTGACAAGTACAAAATATAATTGCACCAAACATTCAGACTGATTAAAGAAACTCAATAGGATTTAGTATGCAGTTTATATTAAAATTAAATTTGTTCAAGTAATATAAATAGATTAATTTATTTATTGCATCAAGAGAAAAAATATATTAAATATTTATGAAATAACAAGTCAAATTGATTATTGATATTTGAAAGATTTCTTAAAAAAATAATTTATTTTTAATATAATTAATGTAATGTATATTTGGGGACTATATAAATCCCATATATTAGTCATGAAACATATAGAGTTTCTAAAATTATTAAAAAAAATTTGAGAGAAATATAAAATATTTAAGTTTATCCTACTCTTCCTCTCCTCTGATTCATAACTCTATCCCTTCTTCATAACTCGATTGTTATCCAAATACATTTCAATATAATGTATCCACTCTTTAAAACCCAAGCTTTGATTCCAAATATTATAATAAACACGCAAGACATAGAAAACTCCACAATGATGATAGTAAGACAGTAATTTATCAATCACTTGAAAGAGCTTGAAACTAGCTTATACTTACATGGAAAATTAAAGTGGTTTAAGAGATGACAAATGAGAGTTCTTTATGGAGAAAATAATACATGGCTTATTTGCACATAGATTCCTGCATTTTAGTATATTTTTATAAGATGAAATGTCTTTATATCATATGTGTTTCTAGTACTATGAACAATAACGTCAATTCACATGTGTGATTAGACTAGGTGGTGGATAAGGTTACAGCCTGTCAAAATGGTCATTAGAGATAAATAGCAGGAAATAAAGTAATAATATCAAGGTTTTTCATATATAGATCCAAAAATATTCATTAATGATGGCAAACTATAGTCAATGTTGGCAGTCTAATTTATGAGTAATTCAAATTAGACCAGTTTCTCAAAAACACTATAGTAAATGTTAGCTATTTTATGAAATAAGGATATTCTGTGTGAATTAATAGAAAATGGGATGCTAATAAAATAAAAATAAAAATTATCCTTAAAAATTCAATATTTTTAATTTTCTTATAGCTTCAAAATTTTATAAGTTTTTAGATATGTTAAACTTAAATTTAGATCAATAAGCAAACAATTATATATATATATAATATAATATAATATGCAATTTCTTTAAAGATAAATCAGAGTCGAAGAGATCTAGTCACCAGCTTCGCACATCACATCCTTATTCGTCATTGCATGGAAATGCATGGTCCGGGCAGACAGTGGATCCCAACTTGCGCTTGGCGACTGGCAAACCACCTCCACAGCCCTGGAAGCTCACACGTGGCCATGAGAGTGCCTCTCGACTCATAGGCATCCAATCACAGCAGGAGACAGCCTCTTCTTGCCTCACGCCATCGGGCACGATCCCCGCAGCCGATGCGGATGTTGTGGGAGCCGCATGCTCTGACCAATGACGGTTGGTTCTTCCCACGTCCCACGTTTCGCTCCCGGCGCAGGTTAGCAACAAGCAGCCCCCGGTAGGATCCCCTCCATCACTAAATACATGCAATATGATCGGACCGTTATCGCTTCAGTTACTTTGTTGGACGACCAAGATGTGCTATGTGGAGGACTCCAACTAAAAGGTACGGTTGGAGAAAATCCTTGCCGGAAACTTTGGTTCATCGCCCCGCCCGTCCTCTTCGATACCTTAACCGACCCCTTCTCCTCCTCTTCTGCTTCCTCGTCTCCCTTCTTCCTCTTCTCGCCAATCTCACCTGATCGAAACCCTAACCATTTTGATCATCTCCAATTTCTCGCCCTCCCCCATCGCCATGAGAAGGAGATCGATCCAGTCCACTTCTGCCGCATCTTCATCTTCCCGCCACTTCGATCCTCCCACAAACCCGCACCCCCGCCGAACCCTAGATTGGGTTCCGATCATATGGCACCGAATTCGCGCACTCCTTCAAGTCCTGGTGGCGGTGGTGCTAAGAAAGTTTTGGGGCTCTGTCCCGAGCCGCCCCGGATCAACTTCGAACCGCGAGTCCGCCGAAGATGATCACAACAACACATCCATGGGTGATCTCGATCGTCTGCCCACCGATGTCTTCGTGCAGGTACTGAAGCTCCTCGGGCCGAAGGAGGCCGCCAGGTCGGGCCTCGTGTGCAAGTCGTGGAAGGTTTTGGTGTCGGACAATAGGCTCTGGGTCTTCTTCCTAACGCATGGGAAGCATCCATTCGACACCGTGCTATTTGCCGAGACGCACTTGAGATCAGGGCCGATGTAGGTCCAGTCTTTTCATTTCTTGAAGTTTTCCTCTGTATCTAAATCTTGGAATTATCCATTGGTTCTTTTGCTGGTTTCCGAGCAAAGCTCCTTATTTCACACAGCCTATCTGAATTGGGAGAATTTTCGAGGCTTGCTGCTAGGTTGCATGAGTGTAAATTACAACCACTAATGTATATTTTCATACCTGTCAACTTGCCTCTTAGGTTATAAAGGTGCACTGCTCTCCTGTTTAAATTTGCCCTGGCGAGTATTTGCTATCACCTTCACAGAGTTTACATAGGGTTGATAGTTAGTTCGCCAAAATTTATATATACCAATTGCTTTTCCCTTACACCACTTACTGCAAACTCCAAGCTTTTGGAAGTGTACATCACGTAGACAGTGAACTATCGTGGTGCAAAGCACTAGTTGCAGATTGTGGTAGTAGACTTGTCAGCAGGCAAAGAGGTATCTACCTGCTTTGGTGGCCTGATTATGACTTACTGGTAACCATTAAGTTTGTATTTACTTGGTAATGTGCATTACGGATGGCACAAACTTATTTAAATATGTAGTCGCTGTGACACTTGTTAGTGATTACTGTAGGCTTGTTCAACATATAATGTTTTCACTTAATTATCTCTGTTGTGACACATAATCAAGTTCATCATTCCTTCATGTCATGGAGCTTCTATGATTTTGAAGTTAAAGATTCTATTGCAACATAGGTTGATTTTTGTGCTACTACTTCACTCTTTTAATTTTGGGAGTAATTCCTTGTTATCCTTAGGCATGATAAATGCTGAACAGCTAATATATATTTCTAAAAGTTTGATACAGAGAAATGATACATTGATTAACTTGACCATTTTGTGAATGCTGCAATATACTCTATGGTTCTATCATCTATTTTGAAAGTTATGTAAGATGGGAATAATGTTTGCTTAATTTTATTTTTAATAACAATTTTAATTATATGCGACAGGTTGTACTTTGATCACTCGCAGCAAATATCCTTCATGCACATCTTTGCAGAACGTGCCATAGTTCCAGGTGCCATTATTGTTGATGGTAAGGGCTTTAGTCATATGGATGCATATTGGATAATCAGCGTGACCATAATCATCTTTCGTATTGGAACATTTTTTCATATGATTCTTTTCTTTTTTCCTTCAACATTTTGTTTACTCAGTAGTGGGTGGTTAGCATTTGGGAGTTTTATGAAACTCAAAAATCCCTTTTACCATATGGAAGATTCTTCATGTTTCTATTGGAACTGTTTATTGTTAAATTTTAAGAGAATTTAAGAATTCTGAATTGGCATAGTGGATTTAGCATTTTAATATCTACTTCCATCTTATGTAGTGGACTCACTTAGTTGGTTACTAAGATTAAGGAAAGGAGGTTTGCTTTGTGTTACTGTAAATTTTTGTTTAGAAGATGAAAGCCAACATGGTCCTATTTCCAGTCTGAGCATGCTTGTTGCAGGATCTAATTGTGTCCTAAAAAGAAAATTCATTGATTGACTTGGTTGGGTATTTCCCAGAGTGTGTCCCTTTTCCGTGTTATCCTTCCTTTGTTTCTCTTTGTGCTATGTGAAGATGGACATCGTCATTGCAAATATGACTGGAGCGCATGTTGCTCCATCTGATTATTCCAATTTATGTCATTTTCTATTGTGCAGATTTCTGAAAACTTACATGCCTTTCATGTTTGTTTATCCTTTTGTGCTACATGTAGGTGGATCTGGTTATTGCAAATATGGTTGGAGCAAATATGCTGCTCCATCTGGACGTTGTGCAACATTTTTGGTAAAGCTTTCTTTTACTATCATGTCAACATTAGTAATTATGTTTTCCTTTGCTGGATTGGTTAATGAGAGTCTAACAATACATGTTGATCTTTTAGTCCTTCTGCTGCTTAACCTCTAAGGCTGTATCTTTCACCTCTCTACTCTCTAATATTATTGATCTGTTTCTCAAAAAGGAATTTGGCAACCTGGAGTCTCCAGTGCATTCAAGGCTTCACCATTTCTTCTCGACAATCTACAGCAGGTTTCTGCTTTGTTGATGATAACTTCCATTTCTAGTCTCTACTGCTAGTTAATATACATGACCTTTTTTCTAATGCTAAAGGCTTATTCTACTTGTCTTGTGTCCTTGTTCAGAACAAAACTTTAAGTGATTCTAATTGCTGCAGGATGCAGGTGAGGGCATCATCTCATCCAATAATTGTCTCTGTTCCAATCTGCTACCCTGAGGGTCTGTATATTCATGTAACATTCTTGTTACAAAAAGGAGTTTGTTATATGGGCATGCTTTATTCAACTTTCATTTTCTGCTACTATGTGCTGTTGATTTGCTAATATAATGCAGGATAACCAAATTATGGGAGAAATCTGAAATTTTTTATGATTGACTTAAGATAGTCTTCTTCATGAAGCTTTTTCAGAATAACAATCTAAGTTTTTGTTAGTTTAAAATTTGAGTACACTCGTTAGTTTCTTCCAAGGACCAACTTGTTTTTGTGAAAGATCTGATTACTAATAATTTGAGAGAAAGACAATTGCAGTGTAACTTAACTCCTTTTGTGACTATACACATGAGTGATCAGCAAAGCTACTGGCCTCACTGACTGGGCCTGGTCATGGCCAATTGCACATGCAAGATTGCTTGATCAAGGCTTTGAATCATGTTTCTCATGTAGTGCTGATTTGTTAATTAATTTTTATTTTCTTGCAGGGCTTCCTTGAACTTTTATGCACTTATTGGATTTGTGAGCCTGTTAAAATCTTGTACAATATATTTGCTTGTCCATTATAAATTTCAGTTGTCTGAAAAATGCTTAAAATAAACATAATTTGCTTTATATTTGTGTCTTTACAAGTTCTTAGTAGTTGAATGCAATGATGTCTTCTAAGTTTGTTTATTTTTTTTCCCAGATACTGAAGCTGCCAGAGCATCTAGGAGGCAATTGAGAGAGGCAATATACTCGGTCCTGTTTGATATGAATGCTCCAGCAGTTTGTGCCATTGATCAAGTTTGCATCTGAACTGGCTTGTTTAATTTTTTCATTTTACATTAACATGAAAATCTTCCTGTGTGTTACTTTTAAACAGTAGTGCCAGGATTCGTAGTTTGCTATCATGCAAACTTCTATATATCACAATTATATTGTTTACTTGTTTCTCAAGCATATTTCAGTTTCATCTTTTATTTGCTGGAAATATATTCTCCCATTCACTTGTTATTATTAAAATAGATAACCTGTCAAGTCTCATGCAAACACATTAGCGATTCTAACTTTTGTTGTTTTCTTGCTGTAATTTAGTCTGAAATTGACTTTAAAGAGCTTGTGTTGTCACCATTCTTCATGAAAATAAGCTATATATGATTTTAGCAAACAACAGGTTAAGATTGGTGGTTCTATTGGCAATGAGAGAAAAGACAGAGAGGGAAAAAGAGGAGGAATATCAAATAACAGCACTCTCTTTTTTAATTCATTAAAATTAGTTGTTGGATCCATCAATCAAATAAAATAGATCGTTCCCATGAAAAGTTCCAATCAAGAATTGAATGATATCCTTTCCTTATAAAACCATCTTTCAGACCTGGTCCATTCTGCTCTTTTAGGTACTTGCTTCCTTGCTCCATTGTTGACTTTCCCAGGCTGCCCAGCCCAAGGATGCCCATCGGTATTAACTTGTAGATGGTTTGAGTTATCACTACTGCTTGCTGGGTTTTTTTTGTCTTATCTAAATGAAGTTGAAAAATGTTTGTATCACACCATCAAAAAAGAAAAAAGAAGAAAAGCTTACCTGCTTTTTTAATACAAAATTGCAGGCTGTTTTAGCTTTATATGCAGCGAGACGGACTTCTGGAATTGTTGTTAATATCGGTTTCAATGTCACCTCAGTAGTCCCAAGTAAACCTTCCTTCACCTAGTGCAATTATTAATTGTTTTCTTTTTCAGAAATGATATTTTGCTGACTTGTTGGATGCTCTTATGTTGATGATTTACGTAATTCCATTGGTCCTTGTGGTTTTAATTTACTGAAATAACTTTCTAGTAGATCCATGGTACTTTATTACAATTATTTGTCATTTCTAGCAAATTTCAATTATACATTCTTTTGGATGCCTGATGTTTAAGGACAAAGGTTTCCATGATTTTGTCTTAATCACTTATTTTCTTGCCATCATACTAGCTGCAGTTTGATAGTGCTTTATCTGGAATATATGTCTGATATGGATGTTACACTTGATATGCAATGCTGAAACCTGAAATTCTAATTTTTGGACCTCGTGTCCTACACATGATTGGTGTGCTGGATGAGGTTCAGTTTATTGCATACTATATTTAATGATTTCAGACTCTCCTTTAACCTTCTCGTATGAATTTGTTTGAGCATATTTTATTTAAGAAAAAAATATACTTGCACATGTACTGCATGAAAGAAATTTCTTTTAGTTTGTATTTCCATGTAGTTAACTAACTTCTTACTCATGTCCTTTCTTTATGAGAGCTTTTCCTCATTTATATGATGATATCAAATGTGACCATTATTAACAATGATTAAGACTGGTGGTTAATAATGCAAGTCCCAAGTAGCTTATATATATGTTATGGTTATCATTTCAAGTACTTGATTACTCAATGCATGCACTTCGTTTTTAGGTAATAGAAGTATAAAACTTCAACTTACTATTTATCAAGATTAATTTTTTGATGTAATATAAATGTATATCTGTAGGGATTATCCCTGTGATACTTCAACTTCATGCCAACTGTTGGTTTGCATTATATCATAGCATGCCATTTCTTGCTGTCTTAATGTCCAGCTTCATGCTTAGACATGTCTTCCATTGAATTGCATGATTGTGCTTCATTCATAGTTGCAACCAAGTTGGTTATGGGATTCCTTGAGTTAATCTGTTCAGCTGTAACTACTTCAAGTTCCAACTGTTGGTTTGCATGATATCACAGCATGCCATTTCTCGCTGTCTTAATGTCCAGCTGCATGCTTAGACTTGTCTCCCATTGAATTGGATGATTCTGCTTTGTGCAAAGTTGCAACCAAGTTGGTTATGGGCACAGATTTTACAGATTCTTTGAGTTAATCTGTTAAGCAACTTACAGCTTCTAACACTTGCTTGTTTCTAGATATCTTGAGATTTCTAAAATTTCATTTTGTTTAAATTATCCCAATAGAGTCAATATTTAAGTTTGGGAGACTAGGTCTAAATGTAAACAAATATGAATTGATGTCTCAAAGAAATTGACCTAGGCAGACACCTCACTTTACGGCCAAGGTCCGAGATGCAATGACCTAAAAATGCTTGAAAGCTTAATGTAATTTTTTTTCAATATCTTAATGCATTTATAGCTAGCGATTCTCCTATAGTGGAATTAAACAAGTTAATTTGAATGTTGAACAATTCCAAATATTATTTAATTGTAGTAGTTTTAATGGATAAAAGTTGAGGTGAGCTTGAATTTCAGATGAATATCTTATTTTATAGTATATGGTCTCCAGGCTCACATTCTAACAAAGAATATTTGTTCAACAGTTCTTAGAGGCAAGGTGATGCATGAAGTGGGAATTGAAGTGTTGGCATTAGGTGCTCTAAAACTTACTGGATTTCTCAAGGAACTAATGCAGCAGAGAAATATAAATTTTCAGTCTCTATATACTGTTCGAACAATCAAGGAGGTACACATACTTATCTTAGAAACTTTTTTTTTTCCATTGGATAGACTTTACACCTGTGAACTTTCTTTATTCCATCTTGGAAGGAAATTTATCATTCCAGCCTTTTCTGGATGTCCCCCGTTTCACAGAATCACCATAGATAATTGAAATTATAGAAAAATGATCGTGCTAGGATATATATACATTAATAACTTTTAGGTAGAACATAGAAGAATATTTTTACAATTTCGGAAGCTACAAGGGCTTCTATTTTATTATCATTTCCCTTCCCTGTTGTTGTCTTCATAGTTTGGTATCTTTTTCTTTTGGTTTGTATGAAGGTGTATTTATGGAAAGGAGAGGTGGGTGAAGGGTTGTACTTTTTGCTATTTTGCTACCACTACATATAAATAACGCAGAGATAAAAAAGGACAACAATGTGTAGGAGTAACTCTTAAACTAATTCCTTGAGGAAGACTTCGTTGGAAAGGCACACTCAATGAAGCAGGGGAGGAACCATAGGGGGCTCAGTAGTTTATAGTTCAAATTTTGAGTTAATGGTGTTGCTTACAGCCTAAGCATCAGTTTCTTGTAGGAAACTAGTCTGGAAACAAAAGAAGCGTAAAAAATCATAGTTTTATGGACTTCAACAAACAGTTCTATAAAAGGGAGGAGAGTGGTAAACAATCAGTTCAAACTTATGGTTAAATCTAATAGATTACTATATTTATGTTCACATTACTGTATATCCATTATGATTTTAGGTCTTAGGGGATACATATGTAACCCTATGGAATATGCATATATTCAGTGGGGTCTACTATATGAATATAATTTAGATTTCTTTTTAGTTTGTGTTATATAATATGCCCATGATGGCTACTATAAATACATACACACTATGCTTCTAATGTCATGAATTGTTTGCATTAAACTAGGAGGTCCTTTTGGTAATGGTTTATGGATCATTGTTGGAGATGGCCTGATAATATCTTTCATGCCAGAAACTGTGCTATGTGGCCTCTGATTATGATGCAGAGTTGCATAAAGATACCAAACAATCATGTGAAGTTGCAAGTGAGGGTTTGTTCACCCTATCAAAAGAATGCTTCCAAACCGGAGAGATTCTTTTTCAGCCACATATTGGGGGACTGTAAGTTCTTTGTTCATTTTAATTTTTCTTCCATTATCATGCATTTTGATAATTTCTGAAGCTTAATCCTATAATATAATAGATTTTTTTTCCTTAGTCCTGATCTAATTGCATATTTCATAATTTTTGTTGAGCAGAAGATCACTCAACACCACTGGCGATGTTTGCCACTGTGGATTTTTTTAGCATTAATGGGGATGTTTTTGCACCTTGTACTCTTGATTGCAAGTCCTTGGGGTTGTTATTGATAATAAATATTAACAGTAATTGTTAAAGGGAACTTTTAATTATCAAATGATAACTTGAAATGAACTGGAGCTTGCCAAATGGTTAGTGGCTTGAGGGATGATCAAAATTAAACTTGTTGAATAATTTTGATGCAATTTCTCTTAAGTTGGATTGCCACCCATGAACTAATTTTCATTGCTTGTGACTTGATATTTTTTTTGAAACTATAGTTATTTTTTAGTTGTTTCTAGGTCACATTTTCTTAGTAGATCACACGTATTAAATTACTTGTTGGGTTAGAACTAAAGGATGTAAATGAGTGCTACAACCTAGATAAGCTAGTCCAAGTAAATTAGTGTTGCACCCTATACTAATTAAAAATATTCAGTATAAAAATTAATCAAAACTGTCCCACATCATCTGATCTGTATCAAACATTTTGTTTTACCCAAAATGATCCATACAAGGCCAATATATATTTTAATTTTATGAACCAGGGGCAAGTTACTATGCAACAACACATGGGTATTTTACAAATGTCATAAGTTACCAAATGGTCTATCTTTCATGATCTTACATCGGCTACCGACATTGCTCAAGGAGAAATGAAGAAAAATATTTGATTGATTTAAGATAAAGAAAAAGGAGATTGACCTTAAATTTGATTAATGATTATTTTCCCTCAAGAAAGTTTTTTTTATCTGATGAAGATGGAACCATATCAATCAAGAATATCATCAAGAGGATTAATTGTTTTCGAAATCAATCTTCGAATGCTGTCTTCTTCAAAGAAAAAATGATTAATTGGTTGATTTAACTAGTCATGTTTATATTCTTTTTCTTTTTTTTTTGTATTTCCTTTTTCTTATTTGTATTTAGGATTTTGAAGATGGAAAGGGATTGTAGTGGATAGGTTACAGAATGAGACACTGAATTAAAGTCATATTTCCGCATTTGTGCTTGAGTGGTATGAGGCTATATTTATTTTTCTAGTAATATAAATCCATCATGCATGTGTGAGATGTATAGAGGTGTGAGATTTCCATCTTTGAAATTTTCTCACTAAACAATAACAAATTTGGTAGTTATCCTTTCCTTTTATTATTTTCTGTTATTGTCTTTCTCTTTCTCTCTTTCTTCATCGTACTTTAAGAAAGAAAAGCTCTCTACTGATTGCAATCTCGTCCTACACCACTTCTACTTTCTTTAGCATTTCTTGATGCCAAGAACAGTCGAATTGAAATCATGCGAAACGAGTTATTTGATGCTGCACATCTTGATCTAAATAATTAGTATCACAATCATCAATAGGCCAATAATCTCAAAGTTATCATCTTCAGAAATTTTATTTGTAAAATTGATTTCATTTGGACTAAATGATAAATAAAAATATAAAAGCAACATTAGCATTTAAGATAAGTTTATCAGAGCTTTGTACTGTCTTTTGTGCTTACAGGCATTCAATGGGTTTGCATCAAGCTGTAGCTTTGTGTATGAACCACTGCTTAGCTGCTGAAGTTGCGACTAATGATGGATGGTTTAAAACCGTCGTTTTGGCTGGTGGAACATCATGCTTACCAGGATTGCCCGGTATGTTGTTTTAATGTGTTAAATACATTGCATCCTATATTTTCTTTTTGTTTTGATGGGAAGAGCCATATGTATGTTATTCTTGTGCTGGCATTTCAACAATTCTGATCATAATTTATTCCTTGAAATAAAATTGAAATGTAATTGATGTATTTTAATTACATCTTTTATTTGAGTGATCATTTTCAGAGAGGTTGGAGAAAGAGCTCCACAAACTTCTTCCACCATTAATTTCTGAAGGAATAAAAGTAATTCCTCCACCATATGGCACTGATTCTGCCTGGTTTGGAGCAAAGATCATCAGCAATGTAAGCCACTCAACTTTGTTACTGCACGCATACTAAAATCAACTCAGTATGATAGGTAAATTATGAGATATCACTTATAATGATTAGAGATCAGGATGTTGGATGCATAAGTTATTCTAGCAAGTACATTAGTGATCTGACATGGGTATCGCCAAAAGATGGTTAGACTGGATTAGTGGATTGCTTTATCATTCTTATAATTGGACTTCATTCTATTGTTCCTGAACTGGTGTTTATTTGTTCTTTGATTTCTTTGACTAGATCAGAACAATGAACACAAGCACAACCCCCTTGCGTGCAAAACTAAATTTGGGTGCTTAATGCACAAAAGATAATCTCGAAAATCAATGAATAGCTATTTGAACACCTGATACATGCAAGCAGGGCAACGATCATTTGAAATAATCCATGGCAAGTTATCTAAGGTAGAATTTCAAGCTAATCTGTGTATTTTGCAAAATGGACTGCACATCCAGTTTCTTATAGTTGTATCACTCACCTGGCAAATGTCTAATGGAGAGCAGGAAATTACAGCAGGAGAGCTGAAAAAGACTGATCCCTATGGAATTAAGAGAGCAACACACATCACCAAGATATCACAGCTCTCTGGAATTTTTGGCGGTTGCAGCTGGTTAGTCAAATTTTTTTGTCAAGGCTGAAATGGAGTAAGAATGATGCCACAGATAAAGGATCTATTTGCCCTTAGTAAGTAGTTTGATAAGGTTTCTGAAAAGGAGAGTTTATACAGGATGCGAGGGGAATTGGGAGTGAGTTTCCCGGCACCTGAATCCCAAGCGTGACCATATTAAGTTGGATCATTTGATGCTTTCAGCCTAACATCATGTAAAATCCGGTTGGGACATACTGACTTCAATGGGATTTGTCAATTTGCCCAGCACCTCCATCCCAGGTCCAGCTAGATTTTGTCATTTTCCCTGGCTGGAGTTTATAAAAATCAACTTAAACTCATCTAGTTTGGGCTCATGTTGCAGCCTGGCCTAGTTGCACCGTAATCAGAACTATTAGCAGTAGTTGCATCTTAGTCGCATTATTTAAAGCTAATGACTAACAATAACACTAGCATCCTACATGAAACAAAAATGTATTTCTGCACACTTCTGTTCTTTTGTTGACTACACGTATTGCCTATTTTCATTCTGCAAGTTTCCTTGCGGATATTTTGCATTAGCATATATCTTCTCGAACTGGTTATTGACTACTGATATTGCCTTTATCTAGGTGAGCACCTTTTGTGATGCATGGTGTATTACCAAAAAACAGTTTCGCCAGAATCCCAGACGCATAAGTGGTGATTAAGATTTTGGTTTCTGGTGCCGGGACTGCTTGCTAGGATCTCTTACCATATTACAAGCTATTGCAGTAGATAATATGATACCCCATTTTCACATTTCAGTCAAGCACACTATTCATTGTTTTCAATAATAATTGTTGCTGCTGTACATTCCCCTTCAACATTCACAATAAGCAAATGGCTGTCTAGTTATCCACTCCACTGAAGTAGATATGTAAGACATTCTTAGGAACGGAATCTTGCCTGTCTTTGATATCACAAAACAGCTCACTGTTGTAATAATATCAAGATGGAGCAGTGAAGTAAATTCACATGCTATTTTTTAATTGCTGTACTCTTCGGCAAATGAATATTTGAAAATACATGTTTTTTACTACAAAATTGTATTTATTGTTCTTAGGTAAAGGTTATCAGTTGCTTTCTGATTCTTACGCAACAATATTCTAAGTGCTGTTTTTTAAGCATTAAGTTTGCTATTAATCATAAGATCCCAAGTCAGGTATTTGCCAGTGAGACGTCAATCATCAACAATTTCTGGCATTGGATATTTTCCTGAAGTCATCCAAGTGATAGGTTTTCTCTCTTTTTTTTTCCCTGGATTTGAAGGTAAACAGCATGCGATTCTTTGCAGGCTATATTCATGATATATTGGATAATGGCTCTGAGCTCAATTTCACAGGATCTGAGATGACTTGCTTCCCTAAAGAAACAAACCAAAAATAGTATCCGGAACATAAGCCATGAGCAGCATACCATGTAAACAGTTTTTTCTAAGTTCTAGTGCACGCAACTGATGGAAATGAGGGTGCCATAAATGTTACAACTGTTAATGTCACACAGTAAGCAGAACCAACATCTACTCCTAACAACGTATCTCCAGAGGAGATTAATAAAGCCATACTCGAAGAAACAGTATTGATTCATTCATGACTTAATACTCTAGAAACAATATTACATGGTCCCTGCATCGTTGCAGATCGAAGTGCCTGATGGATCAGCTGACAGTGGCATCAAGCATCATTGGTGGAACTCAGAGCCTGAGCTGGACTCTAGTATATGAGCAAGCAACAAGTCTTCCTTCCCATGCCCTGAATTGCTGCTGACTGGCAGCTTCTTGGCGGAGCTCTCATGCCTGGGGCTTGTTGAAGGAGAGCTAACATGGCAGCCTGAGTCGGGGGTCAATGGCTCGCGACGGGAGGAGAATGAATCATCACATGAAATGCTCTTGAAGGCCCCGTTGGCGTCGCCAAGTTCCCTACCAATGGACTTGTCTTGGCCAGGGGATTCTGAAGTCGGAGCTGGGGTTGAAGGGTCAGTCTTCTCGGAGTCTGGGCAATGGTCACCTGAAGTGGGTGCAGGAATGTCAGCCCCAGGTAAGTCAGCAAGCACACCACTGAGTCGCTGCTGTTCGTCGATGATCTTCTTCAGATACTTCCCTTGGGCTTCTATTCTTAGCTGCAACTGCCTTTGTACCTGTTAATATATTCAGAAACTTTCGCATGAAGTTCCAAGTTCATCAGAGGCCAATCTCATCGAAGCTCACATCAAGCTTTTCTACATGTGCTCACAAATTGAGTTTACAAGTGATATTTTGCAAAGGAAAAGTTCCTAACATTTAAAGTGATAGAAATTTTTAAAAAAACTTTTTAATTTTTTTTCTTCTTTTTGGGTTATTTGCATTTTAATCTGCATAAAATCTGTACAAAAAGGGACAAAGTTCTGTTGATATATTCAGAAGCTTTCACATAAAGTTCCAAGTTCACTGAGGTTAATCTGAAGACTACATCAAGGTTGTTATAGATGAGCTCGCAAATTTAGTTTACAAGCAATCTTTCGCAAAGGGAAATTTATAAATATTTGAAAGTAATAGGTAAAGAGAAATAAAAAAAACTTTTCTTTTTTTTTTCAATCTTTCTTTTTTTCGTTATTCACATTTCTATTTGCAAATAAATCTGATAGAAAAGGTAGGCACTAAGAAAAGAAGGTAAAAGAAAAACAAATTATAAGTAGAAAATATTTACATATAACTGCATGAAGTACCAACGCTCTGGAAAATAACATTCTTAAACAGAAACAGCAGTGACGACTAGAGCAAGCTATTTTCTGAAAGCGCAAACAATCACTAAATTGGCCATTGAGCAATCGGAAACATCAAGATCTGTAAAGATGTTCGGTTATTAGAAAAAAATAAAGTATTTATCTATTCTAGTATACTATAAAAATTCAATCTCTGTTATCATAAAGAAAACTACAAGCTTTCAGGCTATAAAATTATTTGCAAATTGGATTACCCAAATTTAGGCTCATGTTACGTCATAATGGGCAAAAGAATTCAGATTGCATTTTCTTTTACACAAGCATGATGACATATCTAGTGATAGATAAACAAAATAGAAGCGAGAAAGAGTGAGGACAAAAAAATTTCAAAAAAGGGCCAATGATACTGAAGCTGTTCAGATTGAAGATATTGTTTGTGGTATTGAAAGATTTTCTTTCTTACAAGAAACAAAGCAAATATTATATATAATCAGATATCAAAAAGAAACATATAATCTCCTATTCCAGTTACCAAGGATATGTTTGATCTATCATAGTTATTGCCTTAAGAACATTGAGACATTCATTACGGAGATTATCAGCAAAAGATATTTCAAAAGATGTAGATATAAGCATGGAAGGAAATCAAAAGCCAGATGACAAGTTATCTCCTGGTCCTAGTGCAAAAACAGAAAGCACAATGAACAGTATAATCTATAACAATCCAGCACATCATATTAGTTTATAATGCATATATGCAGAAATTTGTTGATTTCTCACTCAGATTACTACTGATGGAAAGCAAGAGTTGCTATGCCGATCAGCACACATAGGCATAGGTCAAAACAAACAATGGCATAAAGGTTTTGTCTCATACCATGCACTCATGCTAGAGGTGCTGGCCAGCATGGCCCCATGCCACAGCAAAATAGTGATTGATCTTTCAAAAATATAACAGCAAAAGACAACTAAGAGTATGAGACTGAAATTCCAACAGCTGCTCAAGAAAAAAGAACAAGATACGCTTTTGGTCTCTTCAGTATAAAGCAATTAAAAAGAATTTAAGTTTCTTAGAGCTGATTAGACAACAGCAAAAAAATGGGACACATCGAAGATAATAACAAGCAAATTAATGTTGTTGGTACTCATGATGTGAAAAAAACCAAAACAGTATGGAGAAAGAAAATCTGAATGCACTGCTTTTGAGAGTGATATGCTTATAGTCAATGAAAATCAAAGTGTATCATATCTTTTTTACAGTTTAAAAACTTTTAAAAATTGAATTCTTAGAATCAATAGTGAAAAATCTAATGCATTCATCTCCTTGCAGTTCAAGCAGAATATTAGCTTCTCTACCAACCTCAATTGCAATTTTAGAATTCTTGTAAAGCTAGAGTAGCACATAATTCAACCATAGCCAGAATGAGGACAGAAACACCAAACACTAAACCAATTATTACTATTATGTGTTCACTTGCCTCAAGTTGTTCTTGGAGCCGCTTTTGCACCTCCATTTGCAGCTTGAGTGCTTCAGTTATTTGCATCCCACTGAGAAAAAAACATATTATTTTAATTTGACCACATACCATGTTGATAATATCACATTAATGGATGGGGGAGAAAAAGAATTTAAGCTTCATTTAATAGACCAGAATACTGATTTATTCACATTTTGAACCTTACACATTTCACAAATTAAAGCTAACAGAGCAAAGACAAACATTTACTTTAATTTCCCAAAAATAGATTAGAAGGGAACAGATAGAAGTTTAAATCAAGTTCATTAATACATTAATACATGCTTCTTATATTCAAGATAGAAGTCCAACAAAAGAAGAAGCCACATTGCTCTAGCAAGTCAACTTATAGTTCCAAGTCAATCAAGTATCGTACGAGCTTAGCAGCCCATGTCCACTCAGAAAACCAGCCATGTTTAGAAAACTTTATGACAAACGACTTCCCACATCCTTACTCCAGGTACCTCTAAGAAATCACTTCTCTGATCTTATACATTCAAGTACTACTGTAACATCCATGCTATACAAGACTAACATCGCAAATGGTTGTGAAAGAGTCAGGTCTCTGATGTATCATAATTTGTACAAATTGATGCCGATCTGTAAGAGGCCTAAAAGAAAACCAAAAGCATAGACTGCTGTTTTGCCTGGACCAGTATCAAATGGGCAGTATGTACATACGGCTCCAGGCATGAACCAGTATGTGGACCACCCCCATTTCGGGCAGCCCGGTTGACCCATTAAAAGAAAGAAAAAGAAATTATTTCATGGTTTGGGAGCCCCCTTTGCCATATATGAGCCCATGAGCTCTACCTGATGCCACCCATAGCCACCCACAGTCGATTTTGTGCATGCTTCCTCCACCTCCTCTTTTCCTCCACCCATTCTCTTTTTACTTTCTCTTCCTCCAACTTTCTCCTCTTCCTCCACTGCCTCCTCCTATTTCTTCACCATCGCCTCTTCTTCCTTCCTCTTCCTCCTCCTCTTCCTTTACCACCTCCTCTTCTTTTTTCCTCCTCCTTCCTCCTTTTTTCTCCTCTTCCACTGACATCTGTTCCTTCCTCTTCTCCTTCTTCCTCCTCTTCGAGTCTTTGGTACATACTGTGTATCGTGTGTCAGTAAACCTGTACTAATCAATATCTGATCAGGGACCCATATGCCTGGTTGGCAAACCTTGTCCAAGGGAGATGAAAGGAAACATAAGTAACAAAAACCAAACAAGGAAAGTTGCCCAATAAGTCCACAGTAAACATCATTATGTTACGATAACTATGGCTTTTCCCAAGGTTTTATGCTTCGACTGAGTGAACTTACGAAATTGGTAACTATTTTTATCTATCTGTCACTTGCACTAAGCATCTACCAA